AAGTTTAACTTTTTTCTGGTTCTTATTTGATTACAACTCGCATTATATTAAGCAGAATGAAGAACCTTATCTATTTATGTACTTGTATATAGTAGTGGAGTTTTTAAGGCAAATCGTACAGTCTGCATAGACTCCACTGTCGTGGTAACGATCTTTTGTTTCGGCTGTATTGTCTAATTTTTCCAACGTCTCCTCTGTATTTGCATCCAAGTTAACTGACGAAACCACTGTGCAAACGAAATGCACAAAAAACGCTGCGCCTAGGAAATACATACATATGTATCTGCATGAGCTAGGCATATTATGACAGCTGAAGTGATTGTGAGTGCTTACTTGTGCTCGCAGCGCAAAAGTCAAAGTCAACAGGGGTACTTAACCGACTTGTTGCTGCTTTTACTTACAATTCGAGCACCGCTACTTACACACTGCCATATAGTACATATATTTTCATCTATGTATTTGTATGCGTGTGCTATTCGACACAGGCGCGTATATATGTTTGCGGCAATTTGCATACTTAGCTATACTTATGTGCTCGTGGCATACTTGTAGGCGCTTGAAGCCTGTTTTAAATACACGCAAATTATTGCGCTTTTCGTCGTTGCTGTAGACATAATAATTAACCATAAGTGTCACATAATTTTGTCGGTAATATAGAGTTGTTACGAAAGCAGAGGCGCTTACTCACTGTCACAGAATTAAGCTGTTAATAGGTGGCTCGTGTTTTAGAATCTTTTTCTAGCGTAATATATATTTTGCACGTATGTATTGTTTATACTGTGTTTTGTCTACAAATTTAGATTTAAGCATTATAAGAATGCTGTAATACTATTGGCTTATAAGATTATATTGTTTTCTGATTTAAATATAGAAATATATGTATAAAAGAAAGCTGAAAGTTAACGTTACAGAAACCCTTCAGAGTAATTCATAAAACTCTTAAGTCGATGGGCCTAAAGCAAAATAGGTTTGTTCTGGTTTTTCCTTAATTTGTCAATATATTTCAGATCACTTCTTTCACGAATAGTTTTCAGTGAGGCAATACCTTGTTTCGATGTTAGTCTGTTTGACGGAAACATCGTTCACAAATGCAAATTTATCACCAAAGTAATAGTTCGGCACGCGCGAGGCAATTTTGCATTTTTTCCAGCTATAAAGCTAATTTTTGGTTTATTCTATGCGTTAATAAACGAAATTGATCAATTTGGAGTGATGATAATGTACAAGTTATTGTTGAGACGTTGCTACATTCTTAAAAAGTCACTGTTTGGTGTGCTCTTGTGCTCTTTGGGAGGAGCGAATCATTGGTCCCTATTTCTTCAAAATTGAAGCCGACCATAATGTGACAGTCAATGGGTTACGGGGGAATGTTGATGTGGATGTTTCCATAAAGACGGCGCTAAGTGCCATATAGCCAACTAAAGAATCAATTTATTGGAAGAAACTCCAAGATCGTGCGATTTAACATCGCTTTGTTATTTTTTTGTGGGGTTATGTGAAGTCACTTGACGCTCGACGATTGTTGCCTTGGCAGAGAATATTCAGCGCGTTATTGCTGACATACTGCCCGAATTGTTGCAAAAAGTAGACGGAAATTGGACCTCGCGGCTGGAATTTGTTCGAGCCAATCAAGGCGGTTACTCGCTCGTAATCATTTTTAAGACACAAATCCTTTAATTCTTAAATGCACATGTTTAAAAAAAACAGCCCTTATATTTGTGAGAATAAAAAATAATTTTTTTTTATTAAATTGAAGGAAGGGTTTCAAACCACTTCTTTGTAAAGTTGGAAAAATACTATTTTCTGAGCCAATCGCTGATTTGCCTAAGACTTTTATTTCTATTTCCATCAGCTCACGCAGGATGTCTGAAGGTGTAAGCTCCAAGGTGTTTAAGCCGCATCTTGCAAAGGCGCGACTTTCAAGTAGGCAATGTTGGCGAGTATTACTTTGAGCTAAATGATTTTTACGTACTAATGGTTACCTAGCGCTCGCCAAGCTACCGAAGGCTTCTCTTAGTACTTGCTATGTAGTTTTTTCTGATTATTTGAACATGAGACGTGATACCAACTTTCATAACAACCCACTATAGCTTGCTCAAAATTATTCAACCATAAATCGATAATGAAATATGAAGATCCAAATTATGTATACTGCATTGCTGGAAGAATTTATGTTTACACCAAAAAAGTAAAGAAGTGTAATCATAAATAAATTGTACTTGAGTGGGTCTACATTGAAAGTGAGATGAGTCACACTACATTCTGCGCTTCATAGTATCTTAGAAAGCCAGGACACAAGAGTCTTGACTTTCTGTGGTGTATAATTACCAGAGACTGATAAAACTTAGCTCATATTTTTGCAATGAAAACGATTATTTTAAAATAATCAGAACTTGTTGCTCACCATCAATCATCGGGAGTCTGATATATACATACATAACTATATTTCGACAATGTTGGTATATATCGTACAAGTTTTGCTTGCGGTTTTCCAAGTTGATTATATCTACCTTATAAATTATTATTAAATACATATATGAAATAGATTCGGAAAACATATTTCACCGTAAAATGATTCGAAAAAACATTACTTCGCATTTGAATTACCTCTACAATTTGCATAGATGTTTCTCCCCTCTTTTCACTAATCTTTTTTACTCTTGGGCTATGCAAATATTTCAAATGTCAGCCCAATATATTCACTTAATACGTGTGTCTTAATGTCTTATGAGCGAATCAAATCCAACACTTGGTAATTGAAATTCTTCGCCTGTGTTTGCATAATGTTGTCTGCATAGCAGACATGCTCTCATCTAACCGAAATAAAATCCTCGCATATCTTAACATATTTACACAAGACTACAAACAGTTAACTGCACAGCCTCCATTCACATGTGTTTGACTTTGCGCACCATTGCATGAATTCCTGAAAACAAAACATTTCAAAACCGAGCATACACACGTATTGTCTGTTAACCTTTTTCCCACAGACGACGACCTAAAATTCCATAATCTGTATCCCTTTTTAAATTCACGTGTCCTACATGAGCTGGGTTGACAATTCGTTGCCACAAACACACATACACACAAGCACAGCAACGATTAAGTGCGTTTGCTTGTGTGCTTGGTTACAGTTACAGTGAGCTTATGTTTGCGGTCAGCGCTCTCCTGTGCAGACAAAGCAAACCCTCGTAAATTCTTGTTTACTATTAAACATTATTTTCGGTTCATTGTTGTCTCAATTTTGTGGTTCACTTTGTCACAAATCGATTTTGTTGTTTCAATCGTTTGTCATTGGCAAATTGTGAAGAATTTCCAATACTGCTGTATTGATACAAATATCTAGTTAGTGCTTCTTCTTCTTGATTATTTACTTTGTTTTCCAATGCACACGGAGATTTCGACGGACCGATATTTTATTGGCACAGACAAAGACAAAAACACCAAATGCATGTCCAAATTTCTTCGGTCTTTTGCAATTTAAAATGTAGATTTTCATTTTATGCACATTTCATACTTATTGTGTGATTTATTTAAAGTAAGCAATCCATAAGAGTTATGCTTCCATTTATTCAACCTAACACATCCTTACCTGAAGTTAAAACGGTGCTCATTAATATTTTGGTAGGATAGAACACATTAAGGCTCCTTGCTAGATGACCTTTAGCTCAAAGCTAGTAGATAAATATTATATTAATTTCAGAGAACTATAAAGATTCGAACGCGATAGTTAGCTTAGTTAACGATTGTGCCTTGACTTGTACTAATTTGACAGGCCAAAAGCTTACAATTGTCATAAATTTTTTCAATTTATGAATTAAGCACCCAAAGGATAATTAGTAATAACTTTCGAAAGGTTTTAGAAAAACGTTTTTCGATCATTGTGGTTTCGTAATAATTTTTTTCATGCTTGTTGTTTGATTATTCTTACAGCTGTTTTACTATCTTAAATACTAGCGGCGATGCTAAATATAAATAATGTTTTTAATATAATTTTAGCTGACGCGAACTAAAATATAGCAATTAAACGCAGTCTAAGCTTATGGGGTTCAATATATGTCAAGATTATACGAAATTTGACTGTAATTTATTCCCCATTTCATTGAATAATGTATGTTTAATTCTTTCTCAACATTTTTATACTCTCGCAACATGTTGCTACAGAGTTAGTTAAGTTAAAGGTTTTTAATATCAAGTTTTGCCAAAACCCGAAGCACTTCCTTACTTGTTCTGTGATAACTTCTTTTAGACATAATTGAGAAAGTGAAAGAAAAACTCTAAAACTTGTTCACAGTAAAAAAAAAAACAACCGTATCATCATCAGCATGAGCTATTTTTCTAAACAAAATATTTTTATTTAATTACATTTACCATATGGACTATATGTAAAGATGCACCAAAACAGAAACATATATTGATTTAGCTAAAAGTTTTAGCGTTACAATTTTTTTAATTTAAGTTTTTTAACTAACCGAAATAACTAACCGAAACTGTTTGTTTAGCAATAAAAAAAATTATTCAAATATTTTAGTGAAATTTGGAAAGCTGATATATATTTTTTCATGACTTTTTTTTGCAAAATAAATCTGTAAAATTTTGCTGATGGAAAAACCTTTTTATTTCTATGTAGCGGGTAAGAATCAAAAAATATAAATAATAATAAATAACAAAATGTTGAATGGACAAAATATAGCAAAAAAGCTGTAACCAGCAAAAATCTCTAACCAGCAAAAATTTTATTTTAGCTAAAAAGTGTTGTGCTAGAGATGAGTAGAAATATTCAAATTAGTAAAATAAAGTACAAAATTATTTCGAAATAATTAAAACCGTAAATATATCACGTTACAATAGGAAAAATAAAAACCGAAAATGCAGTGAAGTTTTTTAAAACGAGATTATGCTAAGGCCGCAATAAAAAGCGGAATGCACTCAAGTGAAATTTATGAAAAGAAATATCTATTAATTGTATGCCATATTAAAAAAAATTTGTATTTTTTCAGCTGCATATATCAAATTGCAAGCCACTCATTATGAGTTATTTCAAAAAGTCGCCAGCTAAATTACAATAATCACTATTAGTTATCTGCAACAAAACATAATGAAATGAAAAAAAGTTAAAAAAAAAAAATCATGCTCGTTAGTAATATCAACCACTTCCAACACATATCAAAACGACATTATCAGCAGCAAGCGACCTAAACAAAATCTGCTCAAGTAACAAAAAATTTACCAAAATTAGAAAAACAAGATATAATAATAGCTTAGCCCGAAATTAGTTGGCTAATATTGCATTTGGAGGCAACGCAACGCGACGACGCCCAGCTGTTAAAATGTTCATAATTACGGTCATTAAGTTGCTGCTAATTGCGCTGAACCTCTTTCCCAGCCGCTGGACAAATCGGAAAGTGATGTTCCTCATCTATCTCACAAATCTGGTGACACATGGTGAGTAGTGCGAAATTTCATGTCAAATTAGCAATCAATTTTTTTCTTTTGAAAAGCGCTTCGTTTTTCATTTTACTTTGCATCAAACGCAAAATGTTTTGCTTTGTTTTATATTGACGCGCTAATTGCTTGAGTGATTAAATTTTTTATATTTCTTTTAAAACTTGAGTGGAATATTAGTAAAATTTACGTAATTGCAACATTGAAATTTCGAATCAGTTTTGAATCAAAACACATGGAAAATAAAATTATTGATGAATACAAGAAAGAAAGAAATCGAAATTGTCGCTAAGTGCTAATAGGTGATATTTTAGAGAAATTATCCCGTTGCGTATCTCCTCAAAGCATCAATCAATTAGTGATTAAGTTCTATTTCGAAGATGTTGGCTAATGTCATTAATTAAAAGGCTGCATTTTATATTTTATTATTCTTAATAGTAATTTCTTTCCCAAAAAAATTATTTTAAAATAAAACTATTATTGCAACTCATTGAGAAAAAAGAAAGCCATAGAAAGAAAAAGGAAACCAATACCCATTTTTTATTGCAAAAGAATTGGTTTTGGATTTCTTTATATAATATATATAAATATCAATAATATCACAAAACTGAAAATTTAAGCAAAATACTTAAAAGGAAACGAAAGCTCCTTTGAAAGCATTTTGTAGAAGCTCAAAATGAAAGTCTTGCGAAAGCTTTTTGTCGAAGCCCAAAATAAAAACAAATGTCTTAAGAAAGCTCCAGTGAAAGCTTTTTGTGAAAGCCAAAAATAAACAAAAAATTTCAAAAGCTGCTGTGAGAGTATTTGCGAAAGCTTTCGTAAAAGCTTTTTCTTTAAGCTCAAAAAAAAACCTGTACTTAGTAAAATCTGCATTTGAGTAGTCCCGACATTAGTATTAATCAATTGAGAACAACGTAAAATATCGTGCAGAGATCGCTAGAGAGTTCATAGCGAACAAAACTCAAATAAAGGTCGCGCTCTTATTCACCATATTTAACTACATGTAACTGTTTTCTATTAAGAATATTTAAATGTGCGTGGACTATAAAGGCCTTTATATAGAGCACTCCTTGACTTACTTATGCTGCTAACAATGAACAGATTTAATGCGCGGCAATAATTTTCGGTTTCGGATTTGGTATTTTAATAATAAAAAAATAAATCAAAATATAATAGATTAGATAAAAACTGTTTATTACTAGAATATGGATAGTCTAAAGGTGTAAGATATTTTAGTGTCCTCCTACAACTTTTGAAAGATAACCTTTGCTGAGGACGAATAAGTCCCAAGATTTCATACGCCTTACCCTGAGCCAGAACGACCTAGCGACTGTTGCTAGTAGCTGACCAGCGATTACCGAACTCGCCCTAAAATATAAAAAAAACAATATAAAAATAATCTAAACCACACGTAAGCTTTCTTGAATATGTTCTAGCTAGGAAGTTTTTCTACACAATTTAAAATAATATTACACAATATATATTCAAATAAATTAAAAATTATGAAGAAGTATATAAATTACTTATAATATTATTTATATCACATGGTGTCTTAGTAATTTACCTTACTACTCATTTACTCAGTAAATGCATATACTTTTTGCCAAGCATAATATTATATATATGAGCATATATTGAAAATATTTGAATTACAAAATGAAATTTCCTGCAGTGATGATGGATGAGCCACGCTTCGCGCAACCGATACCAAATGTAACAGTTGCTGTTGGACGAGACGCCAATCTGCCATGTGTTGTTGAGCACTTGGGTGGTTACAAGGTCAGTTGAAATTTAATAAAATGTGTATAAATTATTTAACTTATTTCGAAATTAAGTTTGCAACTTTTTAGCTGACAGTGTCTTTTTACTTCCGCTCTGAAATTTCTAATTTTTATTTATATTTTTAGGTCGCCTGGATCCACATTGATCGCCAAATGATACTTACAATACACAAACACGTCATCTCGCGCATACCACGCTATACTATTACTTACGATAATGCCAACACGTGGTTGTTGCATGTGAATCAAGCGCATCAAGATGATCGTGGCTATTATATGTGCCAAGTAAATACGAATCCTATGATAAGCCAAGTGGGCTACTTGCAGGTTGTGGGTGGGTACAATTAACTTTATCTAAGTATTATTAATATTTACTGCTTATACAATTTTTATTCAGTGAGTTTAAAAACTTAGTATTAATGATTATTATTTATTTAAATTAAATGTTTCACTAACCGATATTACATTACTCATACCACATGGCGTCCCACTGAGTTACTTAGCGCTGTTTGTTTTTTAAGCTTTTATTGCAAATTATCCTTGAAAACTATTGAGAACCAAAAAATTGCTTCATATTTACTTATTTAGTTAATCAATATTTTTTATATTTTAAGTTTTATAACAATTCTGCTTATTATATTGCTCATACCACATGGTGCCCACAAACTTACTAACGAATGACTAGTTTCTTATGATATTAATGAAAATTATTTGATATATATACTAACATTTATTAATAACTAGCTTAAATTTGCTTTCTTATTTTGTCTTATAATATATTTATTTCTCATATTTTAAATTTTATAATAATTTTATTCATACATATATTTGTTTCCATTTTCAGTACCACCGAATATCTTAGACATCGAAAGCACACCCTCATCCGTGGCTGTGCGTGAAAATCAAAATATTAATATGACTTGCCGTGCTGACGGCTTTCCTACACCGAAAATTATTTGGCGTCGCGAAGATGGCGAGGAAATTGCTGTCGAAAAGAAGAAGAAAGGTGAGTCTCACACGGGTTAAACAGTATTTTTTCATTAAAAGAAATATATATATATAAAAATGATATCTTAATATTTTATATTTTAACTTTTCTTCACTTTATCTCTGCTGCTTAGTTTTGGTCTACGATGGCGAAGTTCTGCCCTTGACGAAAGTTAGCCGTAACGAAATGGGCGCGTATCTATGTATTGCCACCAATGGTGTACCGCCCTCGGTGTCTAAACGGATTATACTGGATGTTGAATGTGAGTGTACATATGTGCCTTCATTTAATGCATAAAATGTAAACTATATCTTATTGTGATGTATTTATAAAGAAATGTTGATTAGTAACTACAAATTCATTTAGTATATAAAATTACTCCACAATATTTGTTTTTGTCCTATATGTAACTAAACATACATGGCCGTTCTATCGAAAAATAATAATAACTAAATATTAAAATTATTCTTCAAAATACTTTAAACAACATATCTACCTATCTATATACAAAAATATATATATTCTAACAATTTTTATGTGCTTCTGATTTTCATTTATTTGTTCATTAAAGTTTCTCCTATGATTTGGGTACCAAATCAGCTTGTTGGCGCACCAGCTGGCACCGATGTCACAATTGATTGTCATACGGAGGCACATCCAAAGTGAGTTTAAGAATTTTTTAAGTAATGGGCGGAACCTAATGAAGAATCGAATATTGTCAAAAAGGTTGTTTAAATATACTCTCTATTTATATTTATAAATTATCTGATAAATTTTAGGAAATTTATTCGGTAGTTAATAATTTATTAATTATATTTTTAAATTTTGCAATCAAAAATATAAAATTTTTAATGGCCTTCAAAATAGCTGCCAAAATAATTGTTTTAATATATATATTTTCGTTAATAGAATAAGCTTACATTGTGTACAATTATTTGCAAGTATTTGTAAATATTTCAGTATAAGTGACAAAATGGGATTTGAATTATTACTGAAGGTTGTTGAAAAAAGTTTAAATGAAGAATAAATATCATAATTTTCCATTTCATTCTGAGCAATAAAAATCTAGAAAATATTTTATGTAAGTAGAAGGATCTTATAGAAGTTGTAACGATTTTCTTGGATCATTATATAACAAAAGTTATATTTTACTAAAACATATAAATAATTTGAAATGCCTCGGTTTTCATGAGATTTCAAAAAAGTATTTTATATATCTACCAAAACTTGGGAAGCGATATTAGACAAGTTTGGGTTAATCGGAGTATTTTAAAACTGTTATTTAATATCGTAATATATTTTAGCACTGCTAATTGTGTATAAAATAATCCATTTTTTCTATATTTTTAAAACTTAGCTATTCAAGAATGTGTTTAATAGATACTTTTTCAAAATTCAAATTATTTTCGGAGATTTATGTAGGTAATTTTGCTGACTGAGCATCCAAACTGGTTCGACTGGAACTGAAAAAGCTGTCTTTTTCAAAACAATACCCACGATTTCTTGATTCTACTGGATCGTGTCAACTGAAATTTTTAGAGAGTATTTTTCCTAGACCTCTCGAGTATGAACTAGACGCCTTAATGTTTACTATTCTCAAAAAATTCGAAATGGTCAAAAAAAGTGGAACGAAAATGGTTTGTTTTTTCAAGCAGTCGCCATATCCTGAACATTTTCTTCAAACTTGTTCTTAGTTTCAGGCATTGGCACATTATTCTACATACATTTTTTTTTCTTTTATAGTTTTAGACTGCTGGTATTTTTTTTTTGAGACCCCCGTTTTATCATAATTTTTATTTTTAACTTATTTATTTTTTGATTTTTCCCTATATTCATGTAATGTTAATGAATAACCAAGAGAAAAATTAATATTTAATTACTCTGCTATTTATTAGGGCTTAATAAAAACCACTCTTTATGAAATTATTTTGTAAAATTAACATTATAATATTTTAATAAACTTTTTGAGTAGGAGACACCTTAGAATAGATTAATTATGAGGTATGCACCGCGACCTATGGTCTATTGTGCCCTAGGACATACCTTATAAATATCTTTCCTTAAGAGATTTCCAATTTTCCATTTTATTTTCTTCTCCATGTCTTTACCACCCCTTTCTTTTACTTTTTTTTACTATAGTTATTCAACAGTTCGCTGTCTGTATTTTGAGCTCAGAAATTAATTAAAGCAATATCAATTTGATTTTTTATTTCCGCAATCGTTAAGGGACAAATCTAGTTGGAGTTAAAAATAAATTAACTTATTTATGTCGACTAAGTCGATTTAAAAATAACACACTAAATTTCTTAACTAATGTAACAAATATTTTTGGTGTTAAAGCCTTTTAAATAATAGCCGCTGAGTTCAATCAGCGCAATAAATTTTTCTTTAAACGCATTTTTCTCGAATCAAAATTTTTCTGCATGTTCTGTGTATAGTTCTGCATACAAGAATAATAATCTGAATTAAAATCGAAATTTAGCCGGCCAAAAATGACCAACATTTTGAGTAACATTCACATTTTTCTTAAAACTCCGTTATTTTGCCAATTTTTGAATTTTTTCGCGATTATGTCATTGTAATGATCAATATCTTCTAGTATAGAATTCTTGTTTTGGCTTCATCAAAAATCCCAACAAACTTTTTTTAGGCTACTATACTATGTGGCCTTAATGAATATACTTTTAAAAATGTCTTAGCAAATTTTTAAGTTGTATTTAATTTACCACTGAAAAAAATTTTATTTTAGCTATATATTGTTTATATTTGATACTTCTTTACAGAGCAATAATTTATTGGGTATACAACTCAGTCATGGTGCTGCCAAGCAAAAAGTATAAAACGGACTACACGGAGAATTCCTACCGGTAAGTTCTGCATCTTCAAAAAATAGTTTCAAATACTAAATTAAATAGAAATGATGATTAGAAATTATTACCATCGGTCACCTGGCAGTATAGATTATCTATTTTATTTTACACATTTATTTTGTGAAATTTTTTCTTTTCTGAATAATGAATTAGTTTTTGAAAACTATTGCTATAATAGAAGTCTACATAATTACTGCAATTCTATAAGTATTGTATATATTTGCAAAACACAAAAATATTTTTCTTGTTTTTAACAGATTGTCTCTCATAAATACTATAAAAATATAAATATTATTGTATTGAGAATTTGTAGACATTTTCATTTCGAAACAATGCTCTTTGTCGTATCCTACCCACGCAGCAACCCTAAACTATTTATTATTATTGCTTTATTCCGTTTTCCGTTACGCTTACATTCATTAATGCAACATGCAACAAATACGGGACAACAATAACAATAACTGCATCACAGCGCTCACATGAAACTGACAATAAGAAATTTACAATATGGTGACTTTGGCAACTATCGGTGCATATCTAAGAACTCGCTCGGTGAAACGGAAGGATCTATACGTGTTTACGGTAAGTAAAATGAAATGCATGCACATTTATTTACATACAAAATGAGTAGCAGCAGCAGAAAGTGCACAATATCATATGTATTGAGAGACACAGTTGCATTGTTGCAAGTTTTATGAGAGAACAGTTGTGCTGTGCTTTTGTTGGTAGCAATAAAATTTTGTATGTGTGATAGATAAACCGTTGCGCTATTTAAATGGTACTGAATTGTAACTTTTTGATATGTTACCAGTCCGTGGTGGGATTTCTAAAGTTTCATATTAATGTATTGTATATAAAAACTTATATTTATCGAGGAGCGTATTAGTCAATCATGTAGAGATTCTTCGAAAAATGGGTCAAATGATAGTCTCGGTCACGTGACGTTAAGTTAATTACCTGTTGGGAACCCGTACCCAATGATCTACGAGCTTAAGCGATAAAAGACTGGAGTTGCAAAAAAAAAAAAATGGTGCAAAATAAGAATGAGCGGATAGTCTACTTAAGTTCGGTCTGTATATATGCGAAATAGTTTCTTAACAAGCTAAGAAATAGTAATTTGAAATTTCACACACATCTCTCGAAAGAGCTGCTTATATACGAGCTGCTTATGAACGATTCAAATCAAGTACTTGTATGGAAAACTTTTTTATAAGACAAGATATCTTCACGAGATTATGCATAACCTATCAACCAAAAAAGTACCCCAATCAGCGTGAATATTGTTTAGATCAAAAATTTATAGCATATAGCTGCCATACAAACTGATCGATGCAAACAAGACAAGTATTTTTTATACCCTTTTGTGCTTTAAGAAATGCACCTGTGAAGGGATTTATAGCTTCGTTTCAGTCTAAGTTTTTTGTTTTTAAAAACGTTACACCATTTTCTATCACATCGCCATCTAGCGGATCGTTGTAGTATTTAATAATTTGACATGCAGCTAGGTTGAGTCTTTGAATGCATTAATGATATATTCTGCTGCAGTGTTAAAAAATATACATATTATAATACGATTGCATTAATTATTTCAGAAATTCCACTACCATCGACGCCTTCAAAGCAAGTCACACACACCACAATTGAGACCAGAGAAAGTGAGTATAACTGAATTAAATATTTTATTACAGGAAAAATATGAACATGCCTATCGAAAAAAAATTTATATTTCAACTTAGTTAAAAATCACACATAATAATATTTTTTTCTTCTATTATTTTTTCATTTATCAATGCTCTCAGACAATATCATACCCACGCGCAATGGCTCCATAAATGCTATACAAAAGGACATATCTTTGATGAAAGCGGATTTGCTGGGTAGTGGCGCATCATCGGCTTCCTCTTCACATTCCGCCACTGCATCTATTTCGGGAGGAAATGGAAATAGTCTGTCGGCGCTGGGGGGTTCCGGTATAAATTCCATCGATCGAAAGGGTACGCTGGCTATCGGCAAAAGTATGTACTATACAGAGCAGCCACCGAAGCAGTTGGATGGATCAGCGGGTAAGTAGTTAATGAAGAAAATTGCTTAAGTGAAGGAGTATTTGTTTCAGTGTAACTCATAGATAGAGGCACAAAGTGTAGAATACTTTATAAATTAAATAAAAAAATATATCAATCTATATAAATTTTTTTTATATACAATAATATAATAGTTTCCATAAAAATATTTAAGTTTTACGAATTTTCTATTTGTCTTTTAAAACTTTACAGCTGGCACCTTACACAAATCACCAAGCAACTTCTATTTGTGTAGATTTGCGTTAATATTCTTATTGTTAAGAAATCAATCATAAAATTTATGGTGTTATGGGTATTCAAATAATTAACAAAATATAACGAATAAACATATGAAAAAATTAGATGTAAAATAATTGTAAAATATGACATATTAAATATTTACTATTGATATAAAGAACTAAAATCAAGTTAAAGAGTTGGCTATGATATAATTTAATTTAAAACATAAAATATGTATAATTATATTTTTGTGTGAACGCAGTTTTCGATAAGAGAGTATCAGTTGAGTAAAAAGGAAATTATGAAGCGCTTTTTTTTAAAGTTAAAGAACTATTCTCCAATTAGTAATAATGATTTAAGAAGTTCAAAAATGTACCACAAAGATAGTTAAACCTAAGCATTGACACGCTTCATGCCCAAAACATTAACCAAAATGTCTTGAGTCAAGCCAGGAGAGGTATTTAGATGTTCTGACATCTCTCTGATGCCATCCTGACGAGTTTCAAGCACTGTTTCTTTAACTTTTTCGATGTTATTGTCTTAAACATGATCATGAGATGGATCATTCGCACGAGAAAATGCTTTATGCCACTCAAATAACTCAGTTCGGGATAAAGTAGACTCCTCAAAAATTTCTGCAACAATTTCAACGATGCCGTAGCCGCGATTGGAAATATAAAATTGCATTTTCGTTGTTAAATTTTTTCCATTATAAAAATCCTCAGTCAAACTTTTTATGTCGTTCACAAACCGCTACCAAGCACACACTAATTGACACATGTAGAACAAACTTCACACAAACATAAAAAATGTTTGTGGCATTATATGATTTTTTTATCGATTCGGCTTGCGACCAACAATTTGAATTGACCAATCCGGTTCAAATTTGATATTCTTCGGCAGGCTTTAGTAATATGAAACTATATCACGTTCAGGAAATCTATTAAGTTTTAAAATGTTTTTTGTTTCAAAATAATTTTTCTATTTAACGCTGATTTCGTTTCATGATTTCGCTAATTATTTCACTCATCAGCTAAAGCTTAACTACCTGAACAATTAGAACCACTCAACATTTCTGAATTAAAAATTCAATTTATTTTATTTAACTTAAAGTACTTATTCTAAAACTTTATACTAATTAAGCCGTTTATATGATTTTCAGTAAAAAACTTTATGAAGAATAGTGTCAGTTGCGACCTTAAATTCTATGATAGAATATACAGTGTCGAAGTGATTTTACACTTCAACCCATAACAGTTAAAAATCTATTTCAATAAATTCCAAAAAAAAAGTCTGACTAAACTAATTCAAGCCTTCATTAAGTTCTCTAAATGAGCTATTCGCTCTGATGAATTTCGCTCTATCCAACTCACTCACACCACGTGAACACAAGGCGTGGCAATAACTCGTTTGCTCAGTATTTGAAAATGTTAAGCAAAATTATAATCATAAGCTGCTTAATTTCATAAATAGTTTAAACATATATCAAATTAATGACAGACTCTGTATATAGACTTTGAAAACGCATAAATGTTATAAGCATATACAAGTACATATAAAAATAATAGTACATATATGTATGCATGTAAGCAAAGCTTATCTGTTAAATTTATAGCATATATGTATTTATAAAGCAACGATATGTACGTATGTGTGTAATTTAATATATAAGCTATATCATATAGAATTAACTAAAAGATAAGCGAATACTTTATGTAAGCATTTGAAATACATACATGCATAGGTGTATGGTGGAAACAGTTTTCCTTAGACGGAAAACTCAATAATGCAAGCAGCAAGTTAGGCAAACTTTGTTTTGGCAATTATATGCGAGACTTATGTAGGTAAGATTGTTAGATATGTACATATATAGGTATTACAATTAAACTTTTTTGGTTTTAATATAGAGCTTAGTTCATTGGATTCTTTATAGATTGATAATTTTTTAATAGGAAAGTTAAAAATTATAAATTTTTTATTTTATCATTTTTAATACAGCACAGAGGCTTTAATAATCTTATTATTCGTTGTGAAAGTACAAATTTTTGATCAACTCTTGTTACAACTTCCCGATATCATATTGAGCACATAAGAGGTAGACATTGCTCAATGCTTAATTGTAGCTTTAAAGAAGTTTTCGCAACTTTAGAACTAATTTTTTTGCATTTATCATAGACTAAACCATAGTTTTAAATAGTGTAGAAATTTAAATTATTTCGACAGGTTAGATATTCAATAATATTTCCCGAAAATTTACTTTATAATCATGGCAACTCGGGCGGTTTAATCTTAACATAAAAATGGATGGTAAAAATAGCAATTGCTTTTTTAACAATTTGCAAAAAATGCTGGAAGTTCAGGTCACTAAATAAGCATGTAAATTGCCTTAACGCTCCGGTCTCTTTAAGCGCATGAACAGCAACTCCCGTTTGAGATTATGTACAACTTTGTGTAATGAGGTCTGTTATTTGGATTATAGCAATCCGGCACTATATATAAGAATATTTTTAATAAAAGACCACATAAAATGGAAATATATTTGAAAATTTTCGCTTCCGAAAATTGACAATTTTTTGACTTTTTTTTTTGAAGTGAAAGCTTTATAAAAAATGTCTTCAATTTTCATTACATATTTCTTACTAAAGTTATCACTTATATCTTCTGCCAAAAATGTGTAATGGGGAAAAAAGTTTCGGCGCAAGACTCTGCCGTTCTCCTCCGGAAAGCTATCTTCTTATATTGAATTTTCTACAAATTACATATTTTTTTACACAACTACGGAATTTTAACACTAGCAACTATTGGCTTTTGTGATTGCCATTGAACATTGAAAGATTTTCATAGCCTTTCCTCTGATGGTTCTTGATGTTAACTAAAAACGGGGATGGAGCCTCTAACTACTCAACAGATGATCAAACACTGGATGTCAATAAGTCTAAGCAGTAGGTGCAGTATAAGCTCTAAGAGGAAGAAATTCAGTAATCTGGAAATTTAGTTTGTGTTTTCACTGTAGAGCAGTCTAAGCAGTAGGTGCAGTATAAGCTCTATGAAGAAGAAATTCAGTAATCTAGAAATTTAGTTTGTGTTTCCACTGAGAGTAATTTTATTGACGGGGTTATTAAAACCAAATGTAGTCATTGATATACAGGTTTACCAAAACTCATGTTCACCATACGCTTTTACTGTATTGAAGGAAGTTATTATAAAGAAGTATAAAGTCACCACCTTAAGATCCGTAGCAATAAACTGCATTGTATTTATTTATGCCTGTTAAGGTTTTCCTCACGAAGGCTACACTTATCTTATGCGAGTACGTTAAGGCATCCTTTTAGAAAATATTTTATTAAATTTTCATTTCACAATTACCTGATAATTAATTACACCACCTAGGGTTATATAAATGTCAATCGTTTTTTTTTAATGCCTCACAGTGCTTTAACTTTTATTCTGCTATTAATTAAATTAAATTATTATAATTTTTGTTTTTTTTCATGTCAATACAAGCCATTGATTACCATCACGATTACCATTAATACAGCCGCTCTAAGAACAGCTCTCAATACGACTATTTGCGCTCACAGCGCAGAGAATATGATATCGGAAAAATCGTTATCTTTCGATTGCATTTCAGCTGTCGCCCTTTAATGCTAATTAATTCTGGGCGCTCAGTTTTTTGAATAATGTTTTAATTTGTTTTAAGTTTTAACAAAATCATACTTGACACCTTAAACAGACATGTAAATATTTTTAGAGATAACTACTGTAAATAAATATATCGTTAAGATAAATAAATGAAACTAAATTCGCAACGCTGCAATCATCAATAATATAAAATGAAGCATTTATAGCAATTAGCAGGTGTACAATAAATTAAATACTGCATTTGAGGAAGCAAAAAATGTAAAAAAGTTTCGTTAATATATTAGCGCGTTAAGAGCAAATGCTAAGCAAAAAAAAAAATAGAAAATGATAAATGCAAAAATAACGGAAGATTAATTAAACAAATTGAGGATAATAAGTTATGTATATGCAAATGTTATTTAAGCGATAAATCAGATATGCAATGTAGATAAAAGCACGAACAATAAAAACAATGGCAAAATGTGTGAAGCTTATAAATAAATACAAGCAAAAAAAAAAATATATTAAAAATAATAAAATTAGCTGTTTAACTATAAAAAGCGGCGCAATGAATACAGCAGCGTGTAATTGTGCAGAAACTTGCTTCAACACGCAGCGTTGGTAATTGGAACCTAATTAAATACTTATGCATGTTGATATACACATGAGTGTGTGCGCAAGAGAATTAAAAATAAAGTTGTATTTTATGCATTTAACGATAAAAAATTATTCATACAGTAAGCTTATGTAATTTATTATTATTGTTTTTTTAGCTGAGTTCATAATAAAACATAGTAAAATTTTTGATGCATTATTAATTTTTATTTTTTTGTTTTCGTTTAGTAAATATTTATCGAAAATCGAACATCTAGGCGATTAACCAAAAGTAAGCAAAACGAAGACAAAGTTGAATTTATTTGTGTATATTTACGTTATGATATACTGAACGTTGAAATATATATCTCGGCATTATATACAACAAAAGCTTTAAAGACACATATAATTGTGCTTAAGATATTTTATAAATTTTGCTTAATTTTTTTTTGTTGTTTCTTTTTTGTAATATCCATACATTTTTAATTTTTTGACAAATGTTTGAAATCGGCAGATTATATGCAAAACCAAATAATATAACATTGAGTTTGGCTTAGATCTGAATAATGGGCACCGCGATCGGGTCTTACGAAGAGCACCCTATATGTTCAATAAAGCATCACTTTTTCCAGCATGTTGGCTTCCAACTCTTTGCTGGTTTATTCGCGTAGCATATTGGTTTAATTTACGCTAATACAAATCATATCGATGGAGTTATATTACATGTCTGAAGTTACAATAATGTGCTGATTGCCCAAGCCTTCAGGTTTTGTCACCGCCCTGTTCACTCTGAGTTTATCGATAATGAAGCAGGTAACTAAAAGTTGAGAATAATTTGCCTGTAAGGATCGTCAAGTAAGGTAACTGATTTTTTCTGTAAGTAATAGAACCTGGAAAGCCTCAACAGTTTAAGTCAGGCTTGTAAATTTTCCATATGGAACGTAAGATTAGAAAGTAAGTTTCAACCACTCGAGACTTGCTTTAGTTAAAGACTTTTTATAGCAATATTTCAAAGTTTAATGAACACAAATGTCAAAACCATATGTTAACTTTGACAGTCGTACCAAAAGGAAATTTTATACTGATCTTACTTTTTTACTTTATTTATAAAATATAAATTTATTAAATTCAGATGAATACAGTGCTTGCGGGACGATATAAGCTGAGTTTGTGGCAAAAAAGTCGCTAGGATCCTCAACTTACTTTTTCATCACAGCAGTACGTTTTTGCCGTTTCTTTTTCGCGATTTTTGCCAAGTTCCACTTTTTTGATGTTATAAGTACTCAGAACGTTTTAACATATAAGCGATATTTTTTTTTGTTCACAGTAACTTAAAATATTCATTTCGCCTAAAAAAACGGAATTGAATCGATAACATTTTCGCGCGATTATTTTTAACAACTTTCGATTATTTTTCGATTCGGATTAAGCCAGAAAGAGTGCATCGATGAACTTAATAACATTTTTGACGTTGAAGCTCCATTAAGGATCATTGTTTATCGACGGTATGGTGATCGAGGTCGTATATCACTCCGAGACGAATTTCGTGAAGGTCGACCAAAATCAGTGGTTGTTCCTGGAGAGTACTGAAGCTGTGCGCAAACTGATATTGCGAGATTATCGTGAGACCTATCGTGAGATTGAGACTATAGAAATTAGTGGGACCAGCACACGTTCGATATTGCATGAACGTTTGATTGTAAAAAAAAAAATGTTCACGTTGGATCCCACATAATTTGTTAATCGCTTAAAAAAAGGCTGCTGTCGATTGGGCGAGAACTGACTTTTTTGATTCCATTCAACATTTTTCGACTCCTTAGAAGGCGTTGATGATGACAAACAATTTTCGATGATTAATATTTGTTTTTGTTCTCTCATTCGGAAATATAAAATGCAACCCTCCATTGGCTGACATGAGCAGTCAATTAATGCATATTAAATTATTGAGAGTATTCTTCAACTGTAGCTTTTTACGCGTGATAGTTGAGGGCGAAATAGTAGAGCACTGCTATAATCCTTTGCAAAGTCATTATCATGTCATCGATATGAATATGGCTTATTATTTAGACCCGTTTTTCAATAGTCATATAATCTGCTTGTTCTCATAAAAGTGCCTACAAATATTAAACAGTTTTGCCCAGCTATTTTTATCACGTTCAATTTTGATAATTCTGAGAACCTTCACTTTGCAAGAGACGTTTCAGTTTAAAAGCATTTTTTTCCCGTGTTATTCAATATAACAGCGGTTTTCGATGTGATTTGAAAAATTTAGTTGGATCAGAAAGTATCCCAATGTTTAGAATACACCACAGTCGAACTTCGACAAGTCTATATTACGAGGATATATGCCTCCAATGAGCGCATTATTTGTACTACAGAGTGTTTGGTGAAAACCTTTACCGGAAAACAATTGCTAGAGCTTGAGGGTGAATTAATAATAATGTTTGATTTTTAATAAGGTTTGATCTTTTTTTTTGATTGAGAGCTCACGCGTAATCTCACTTTGATTTTATTACATTTGGGTAAACATTTTGCTTACTTTGGAACAAGGCTCGTATATACGAGAACTTACTGTAGTATTAATAAATTCACAGTTATCTGTGCTATTGAGTTTAGTTTTTTGGAATACATCGATCATTTGCATTTAATGCGTTACTAATAACTGCATTTTACTTATATTAAGTTACAAAAATTTATTTTAAACTAATGTATGCGTATAAAAAGCTATGAAACCATGTAATTATGGACGGAATAAGTTTGAATGGTAAAAAACTATATTTGATGCCATGAAAAATATTTTAATTTGAAATTATTTTTATGTGAACCAGCAATAAATTACTTAAATAATGCTTCACCACTGAGTATTGATAACAAAGTGATGTATCATTAAAAATAAATAGTTTAAATATTATGTGGAAGGCAAAAAAACGATATACCTAAATATATAAAAAAAAATTATTTTTTTGAGGGGAATTATATATATTTTGTTGTGTGACTTACCGCGGTATTTTCTTATGTTCCTATGTTGCAACAATGTAATCGGTGGCAGTTAAATTACAGAAATAAAAGAGCGCCAGCATTTTTGCTTCTTTCTTTTTTTGCTGTTAAAAATATATATCAAATGAGTTATAAAAAAGCAAATGCAAAAATCAATATTTGTAAAAATCATCATAAACGAACTGAAAACTAAACTGTTACAAAATCAAAGTATATCATAATAAGTATTAATCTTAAGTATATACATATGTACTCGTATATGTAACCAAACTACAATATATTCGCGTGCTACAGCCGGATAAAATTACTAAATAAACTAGTGATTTATATGCATACATATAGAGTATAATGAAAATATTATAAATATGTAAACTGGATAATAAGATTGATATAAAAATTAATTTAAACTTAGATTAAATATGTTAAATTGCAAAGAAAGTAAATCAATAAAATTAAACTATTGTAAATGAAGGCTAATAAAAATTATTAAGAAAAGAAATACTAAATTTTTAATTTTTCACTGAAAAAAAAACATTATTTTATTATCATGCTGGTGAGTATTTGTTTTTTTTTTCATTGGTTAAAAATCCAGATTTTTCTGATTACACTTACAAGTAAGTCTATAAATATGGAACGCACACACACCCATCCACAAATGCAAAGTATTTGGTAAGCTCACCAATTCTTTTAGATATTTAAGAACTTTTCAGAGATTTTATTATGCGGATCGTGTTAACAAATTATTGGCTTTTTAAAAATTTTCACCTTTTTTGATAAGTAATATTCCATGTTTCAAATCTTGAAAAACATCCAACACGCCTTTTTTCTAGATTGTATACTATACATAAAATTTTGCAAAACGATATAAAATTATACAAAAATCAAAGGCTGGCAAAAATATTAGATACACATTATTCCTATTAAAGTTTAAGGTTTATTATACTCCCATTTAGATAAGTGAACACCCTTGACTTTGAGTGATTATATATATTTGCAACTATGAAAAAAAATTATCTAAACTAAAAAAAGGAAAAAAAATTTCAAGTAACGATAGTTGTATACAAGTAATGACTTAATGACTAGTCAAAATTTATATTTTTGATAAAATGGTGCATTTCAAAAAAGTCGATAAATTTGCACTTCCTAGCGGCTTAAAAAATTATTAATTCAGAAATTATTATCAAAAAGTTTATTCCTTCGATGTATACCTCACAAATATATCTAGGAAGGACGTAAAAATTTCAAATCGATGAGAGTAATTTTCCTTACCGACTCTGTAAACAGTTTTTCGAAAAATGCGTTTAAAGATTTGGGAAGTGCAACAAAGTTAAAAAATTCTTACAAATATGCTCATATCTTCGAAACTGTTTGCCGGAACAACTTCAAAAGCTCGAAGAATATTTTCAAATATATTTCCATTTGATATATATACAAAAACACAATTAGATTTTTTGAATTCACAAGCCGATTTAACCACTTAAATTTGAGTAATGCAGATTATAGAGATATTATAATCGATATCGTTATCATCTTATGATTTAATGGATGTTCTTATAATATCATACTTCGAGGGGAGAAAACTCCCATCCTTATGTAAATTCAAATTCTTTTTTAGTTTTTATTCGGCTGATATTTGGTAGCGCAAATTGGAAATTAAAAGATGCATGGCGAAAGAGTCGATGGGGCGTATAAGTAACATAACTTATTATATTTTCACTAAACAATGGGATTCTAGATTTTCTTTAGAGATTTGTTGTAGTTACTGTTGTAACGGCAAAAAACATTCGTAAATGATTTTGAATGATGCTGTTAAGCTAAGAACCTTTGGTAAGACGGGTCAATTTCGGGTCAATTTCGATTAGATATACTCGTGGGTACGGTGAAGATATT